CTGTCCATGCCGACCTCCTCATACCTCAAGGAAACGGCGCACGCCAAGCATGCAGGGCAAATAGGCGAGGTCTTGGAGCCACTGTGGTTCGACCTCCGCAACTCCCAAAGAATCTTTCTGGGCTCCTGGGACTTCAGGCTTTGAGCCAACCCAAAAAGAATGCCTCCTTGGCTTGAGAAAGGTATTAGGGATACCGAGTGCCCAAGATGGATAGCCATCTCAGGAGCCCGGACGCCCCAAGTGGCCCCGCTCCTGCTTTTCCACGGACAGAGGGCCGCCTGGGTCCTGGCTTTCCAGGTGCGAGATGTCTAGCTGAGGTGCATCTTGGGCATTTTGTGCCTTGGCCGGGTCTTGTGCAAAGGTGCTTATGTTCAGCTTGTCCAGAATCACCCACAGAATCCAGAACCCCCAAAAAAATAGCCCAAAGCTTTCGAAGGGAGGGCGAGCTGCGGCCTGGAGACTTCACGCGGCGCTGGGCTTACCCAGCAGCAGGGGGTTTACGAACCCCTACTTCACCCCCAGAAATCGAAAGCCTCCTGGATGACGTCCAACTTGGCCACCCATCGCCTTGGCAAATGTTTCGGGGTTAGGGTTTAGGGGTACGTTACTGCGGTCCTGATTATAAGGGAATCCTACTATTTTGGGGGTCGATTTTAGGTTCCCCCATATGGCTTCTACGTCTGCGCGGTCAGCACTCGAAGTTCCGCCCCCGGCCGTAATATGGATCCTTATATCGACGGGACCCCCCCGAGAAAAGAGAACTGGCTGTGCGCTTGAGGGGTTCCTGCAGACATCCGAAACCGACATTGAGACCGGCAAAAGCCTCGAATTGAATTGGGTCCTGGTATCTTTTCCAAGCCCCAATCCCCGCAACCCCCCGTAATCCTCCATGGCGTGGTTTGCAAAAATGGGTTTAGGGTTTGGGTTTTAAAGAAAAGAAGAAGGGCACCGCTTGGCGTCCTTGTTCTAGGGCTCCGGGCCCCTCCTTCCTCTTGACTGAGCACCTGCAGAGGGCTCGCGGGGATTTCGCAGGATTTCTTGGGTTCAGGGCTTTGCTTAAGGAGGGCTGCTTCTTCGGGCGCCAAGCAGAACAGGAACCTAAACCCTAAACCCTAAACCCTAAACAGGAATGTTAAAAAAAGATTCCAAAGAAGCAGCCCGGGCGCAGCCCGTCCACCATGTCTGCCAGCTCATCCTCGGGGCTGCCGAATTTTTGTCTCATGAGGAGTCAGTTGTAGGCCTTTTTTTTGTGTCTTGAGGAGAGCTCTAGGCAACACTTGCCCTACTTCTAACGTGCATAAGTATGCATGACCTTCAAGTCGCAAGGGCTTTGGTGGCAAGCTATTTGATCAACCCTAAGCCCCAACCTCGCAGTGGGATGTGGGTTGGTCCGGACTGCCGCGACAGCTCTAACATGGCTTCGAGGGGCTCGCAGTCGCTGTCGCCGGGTGCTTATCAGCGTGAAAGGCGCACCCACCCCCCCGATGCACCCTGCCCATATCCTAACAGCCTCAAAACCCGAGCTTGAATCCACGCCAAGGCTTCACACGCGCGCAGGGCAGGGCCGCCCGAGACCTGGACGACCCCCCCAACCCGACACTCTGAAGCCCGGGTGTGGAGTCATAGCTCAATTCCGAGCCGGGGGGCCTCGCCAGTGATCTTTGACTCCTTCGAGAAGATGTAAGCCTCTTTTGCGAAAGTGGAGGCAGCACTTCGGAGGGTTCATCAAGGGCCAAGGGCGTTTAAGGAGGGCTCTGGGCGAATCTTTTGCCTCATAAAACTCTCATATAAAATTGAGAATCATACTGAATATAAGCACGAATCCAAGCAATGTGACTCCCAGTAATAGCCGTAGGCATCTTGGAATTCCACAAATCTCAACCCTAAAACAACCCGCTGCGGGGGGGGTGGGGGGGGGGGAGCAGCACGCACCCTAACCCCACGCCTGCCTCCTCGACGGCGGTCTCGCAGACTTGGCACCTCACGAACGCCAAAGCCGTCTGCTCGGGACTTCTGGGCTCTGTGCTTCGGAGGTTTTTGGGGTTTGGTTTTGGGGAGGGGGTGGGAGGGGGAAGGGCGGGGATGGATGTTGCCATTTGTCTTTTCGGCCCAAGGTATTCAATGTTCAATCTTCCATGTTGCATATAAGGTCTTCATAGGCATATCAGCAACGCTGAACGTTGTACGCAACAAGACCCCGGCTGCACACTGGCAATGGCATCCTTGCTGACGGCCGCCCACGCCTTCAAGCCAATAAGCATTGGGTGGACTTGGCTCGCTTCTAGAGAAGAGGTTGTACCTTGAGCGCTGCAAGACGTCTCCTTTGCATTCCCGCAGAAAGCAAGAAGAACAGCTCTGACCGAACGAAAAAGTCCGAACCACAAATATCATGGGCTACAGTACCCCCTCTACACTACCCTCCTAGGTTCCCCCCTTTAATAACCTTAATGAAGCTACTAGTATGTGATAATAAGAACAACCCATTGGGAAACAGACCGCGGCGGCCTGGGGCGCCAAGAGCAGCAAAGGCACGCAGCGCCGCATGGCTCTCCAAGCGGCCATAGATGGCCCCTAAACTCTTTTAAAAAGCTTTGAAACAAACTATTAAAAGAATGCTTTAACCTGCATAATATATCCTTACGGTTTTCCGGTTCTCTCACACAGGCTGAGGGGAGGGGAGAAGCTTGAAGCTTGGTGTTGGCTGCAGGGGACGCGATGACTCCCCCCGTGCTGTGGGGGAGTTCGGGGGAGTCCGGCGCCTCCTCTGTGGGGTGTTCAGGTGGCACACTGCGGTTGTGCTTGGAGGCGCTGTAGTGTCACTTCCCTCCAAACCTCAACATTCTTTCGGCATGTCCCTTTGTCTCTCTGTCTCTCTCACGCGCGCAACGCGCGTCGAAGGTGTTCGAAGCTGCATGGCCGAGGGGCAGAAGAAGCATCTGGAGAAACGTTGGAGGCGGGGGGTACTCCAACCAACACAAAACACTTGGTTTCCCCGGCACTCTATATCGATAGACGCGGAGACACTTACAAAACCTTCTTACAGGGGGGCAAGGAGCATCCAGACATCCTGCCCGCCAACGCACCCCTGCAGTCACGCAATGCCAGCGGTATGTCCATGGATGTGGGATGACTTGGACATGGAACTCGCTAGAATGCCGCAAAACCGTGTAAGCGTCGCATCCACTGACCAGCGCGCTCCAGCCTTAGAAGAGGAATAACATGAATCATGAAACTCCAACCGGTATTGTACCCTTAGAATATGCGTGCGTGCGGCATAGTTTTTGACCTGCGCTGTTGCGGCAGCAAGCACTTCCGCCAGGTACGGGCGAGCCGCGAAAACCGGTGGTGGGCCCTGAACAAACCTTTCGGGCTTAGGATTACGGGCTTCAGGTTGAGGATTTCGGGTTTCAGGTTTAGGGAACGGGGCCTCAGAAGTCTTACGCATGCTCACTGTTATTGGCGACGAAGCTCTTCACGGGAAACTTCTGAAGGTTCGAGGGGCCATGGATGGTGGTAGGTTAGGTTGTATGAACCTTATTTGAGACACAAATACCAATTACCCTGCTTACCACACCTAGGAGGTCTTCAAATCCCCATGCAAGTGTTTATGTTTCCAGAGTATGGCGGGGTGGGGGGGGAGCACTTTGGGGGGCCAGGCCCACCTTGCACTCCTAGAAAAACTCGAGTGAAACGCCGCAAGACATGCCAGCTGAGCAGCACCTGACAGTTAAACCTGAGGGCAGAATCCAAAACATAGTTGAGGACCTGAGAGGTTTCGAGGCTTTGAAGGTTGCTGGGGAAGCTACTCGAAGGCTTCTGGGCACTTGCAAGTAGAGTATGTACAACCCTACTTCGAACGTCTTCCTCCCTCGATCTCCCGGCTCCCCCATGTCTAACTGAAGGGCTTTTGGGGCTTCGTGAGGGTTCAAGCTTCCTCAGAGCTACTCAGGACGCATGTCTGCCGCCATAGCAGCACCCTTCACGTGGCCTTGGAAGAGTGACGGCTCGGAAAATTGACAAGCAGAAGTGCCCACCCTCTCAAAACCGTCCCGAAGGACAACCCTTCTTCGAAACGATTCTAAGTCGGCTGTGGGTTTTGCAAGACTGTTGAAGGGCTTCAGGGCCCTTTGTCCCAGAGGCCCGCTACGCCTTGATTACGGAAATATTCGCTAAAGGATATAGATCCAAAGAACCTTGTTCAGGAATGTAATATTCCATATCCTCAACTCAGGTGCAAGGGCATCGCACTGCAACATGTCGATGTCTGTAGGAAGGGTTGCTCCAAACAACGGGCTGAAACTTTGAATTCAATATGTCCAGTAGAAGCCTTTCGGATTTTAGGGCTTGGGGCTTAATTAGGGTTTCGGGTTTCACGGTCTGATGTTGAACAGAAGAAGCAATTGGTGGCTGGCACTTCCGCGGTTTCGCACGGCTGGGGGACGAAAGCCTCAACACCCAGCCCACTTCGATTTCGAAATGCTCAACCCAAACCCTTCACAAAAAGCCCGAGCTTACAGCTTGTTTTGCGGCATAGGACTGTACTCTGATCGCATGACTCTGATCGCATCAATGGGCTTCGCCATTTACAGTATGCAAATCTATGCTCGGGACTTGTACAGCCTGCTTGGGTGTGTACGAAACCAAAAGCCGACCCACAAACACTCAGCTTGGAATCTACCACGAGACCACCCCCCTGCCTAAAGACTCCTCTTGCAAGCCCCAACAAGCCCAAAGCCACTCGAACACCAGAGATGCTCCCACTGTCCCAGCCATCCCCTGTTGAGGGACCGCTGCGGTTGACATCACAAATCCTGCATCGCCCAATGAAGTTCCGAAGGCCCAAATTCCCAAGCCTTGCGCCTTGCTTCCTACGTCTCCAGGATTTGCATCAACCGCCCATGCTTGTGACGCATTCGGTCTGGGCCCCTCGCAGAAGTCTCACGCTCTCTCTCTCTGTGCTCCTCGCTTTGGCTTCCGAAATCTCAGGGGTGGACAGTGTGCTAGTATTGCTCTTCTCGTATTTGGTATGGCTCTGGGCTCTGGCCCTTGTCAAGCTCGGGTTCTTCCAGGTTCGAACGTTTCATGACGGAGAGCTTGCTCCCCGAGCATCCGGGTATTGAGACCCTACCAAACTCTTCAAACGGCCTGGGATCTCTTGATGGTCTGCTGAGGATGATGCTTGGGACCCACTACAAGCCCGTCACGGTAAAGGACTCCGTGACCTTCTTCAAGACGGGGCCATCCTCCAAGCAGGGCCGGCTCATCTTCAGGGTTTAGGGTCTAGGGTCTAGGGTTGAGGGGGTTTAGGGGGTTTAGGGGGGTTTAGGGGGGTTTACGGGGGTTTAGGGGGGTTTAGGGGGGTTTAGGGGCGTATAGGGGGTTTAGGGGGGTTTAGGGGGGTTTAGGG